TTGAGATATGACCTATGTTTTGTTGAGATATGACCTATGGCAAATTGTTGAGATATGACCTATGTTTTGTTGCATATAGTTTCACCACAATACACCTTTTTAAAAACTGGCTAAGAGGGTACAATTTATGTATATCTTGTTGTTGGTGTGTGCCCTTGAGTTGCCTAGCAGAACAAAAACTGTCTCTGGGTTTCCTAGGCTGTCCTGGTGTGGCACCATAGGATAAGCACTGGATTGCTAATTGAAAGGTCGGTGGTTCAAACCCACCAGCTGCTCCTTGAAAACCCTAAACAGGATCGCTATATAGAAGCAACTTGATGACACTTAACAACAACCACAACTATTATGGGAGCAGATTGTCAGTTCTTTCTCCTGTGGAGCAGCTGGGTGGGTTTGAACCACCAACGTTTGTGCTGGCAGCTGAATGTGTTAACTGTGTGCACAACCTAGTGTGTACTACATGACTCACTGCCACTGAGTTGATTCCTGCTCATTGCGGCCCGACAGGACAAAGAAGAACTGCCCCATGGGGCTTCCAAGACTGGAATCATTACGTAAGCCAACTGCCTCATCTTTCTCCCGAGAAGCGGCTGGTGGATTCCAACTGTCAATCTTTTGGTTAACAGCTCAATGCTTTAACCGACTGCACCACCAGATCTCCTGTTACATTATGTATTGCATTGTTCTTGTTAAGTGTCGCCAAGTCAGTTCCAACTCATCACGACCCTGTATAGGATTTCCGAGGAGCAGCTGATGGGTTTGAACTGCTGACCTTGTGGTTCCCAGTCCAGTGATGATCCTACATCTCCTTACCAGTCCATGTATTCCATTATGACCCAGAAATTCCACTGTTGGCATAGTCCCCAAAGACTTGAGTGTAGTGATTCTGGCTGAAACACGTATACAAGTGTTTTTAGCAGCATTATTCACAATAGCCAAACGGAAATAATCCAAGTGGCCGTCGGCAGATGAATGGATAAACAAAATGTGGTCTGAGCAGATAATTGAATACTATTCAACTATAAGAGAAGAGAAATGAAGGTCTGATACGTACCACAACATGGAAGAATCTCAAAAACTTCATGCTGAGTTAGTCATGAAAGACAAACATTGTATGATCCCGCTTATACGAAATGTCCTGAATAGGCAAATCCACAGAGACGAAAGGAAACAAGGGGTGTTATTACTCCAAAGACTACGAAAAGACATACGGATTATTTAAAGGACTGTCGATAAACTAGACCTTTAAAGAGTTGAATAGACCAAAGTTGTGTGATAGATATATTGACAACAATGACTGAAAACAAAAACCATAGCTGCTTAGGCTGCCTATGTATAAACAAACACCCTCATGGGATTTGGTTTCTTGGTTTGGAGGTTTAGGGTCACGGTTTCATGGGGCATCCCTGTTAAGTGGCCCCATATTGTGTTCAGGGCTTCTGTCTTCCTTGGAGTTTCGTGGGGCTTGTAGATGGCCATCCAAGGCACAGCAATTGGTGTCTGTTCACCTGGAGCAACAGAAGAAGGGAGTCGGAAATAGGAGGAGGGAATGGAATGTGTGGTTATTCACCTCCATGAACAACTGCCCCTCTGTCATGGGACCAGGAGAACTGGGTCCCAAAACTGAACATTTTGGTCAACCATTCTGTAAGAGAATCCTGATCAAAAGGGGGGAAAAAAGGAAAAACAGAATTTCTAATTCTCATAGAATTTCTGGAGCCATAGAGGTTAAAGGAACTCTTGAAACGAATACCCTGAGATCATCTTCAATCCTTAAACCAAAAATATTCCCTGAAATCTTCTTAAAACCAAGCAGTAGTTATAGTTTAGCTTAACTAAAGAAAAAAAAAAAAAGTCCGCCTTGAGCAATATGCTCTTTTAAGAACTATCTACATGCAATCAAATAGCCAAAAGCCCCTGGAATAATAAGGTAGGAAACTAAGGGCACAGTGAGTTGAGTAGTTATGCAACTTGAAGAATGTAATCGATGTCACTGAACTGTACTTGGAGAAACTGTTGAATTGGTGTAGGTTTCACCGTGTATAGTCTCAATAAAATAAAAATTTCAAATAAGTTTTTTTTTTTTTTTTAATTATAAGAAGAAAAAGAAAACATTGCTACTGTTCCCACAGGTCTGAGTCCAACCCCAAGTTTGATGGCTCTCAAATCCCACTTTCAGGTAAGAGTGCCTACTCCCTCTGCCCTGCTGGACTCTTGTGGGCCTGGCCTCTCTCTCCCTGGAGGCTCAGGCTGCTGCTTTCCTCCCCAGAAAAACCCACCCTAACCATCCGGACCATCTTCAGCATCGTTTCCAGCACTGTTAACCAGAAGGAGACCTCCAAGGCCAGCTACATACTGGACCCCAGGGACCGGGCTCTGGGAGGAGGGGCTGGGGGTCAGCACTCCAGGTCTGGCTCTTACCTGTGACTGTCCCCACTCCTGTCCCCTGCCCGCTCACAGGCCCAGTCATCTGAATCAGGAAGGGTCACTGTCTGTGGGTGTCTGATGAAGACTCCTTCCCGCTGTATGTCGGAGAACAACCCTGATGATTTCTCCTCCATGGTCTCCTATAACCAGCTCGACCACTACCTGTGGCCGCAGGACATCAAAGACCTCATGGACACCACGTCTACCACCTTGTCCTCATCCTCCCTTTCCCCAACTACCCACACCACCACCTTCTACCATTGCACACCCTACCCCTCTGTCCCCAGACACAATGTCAAGGCCAGGCCACCAGCTTCCCAGAAGGCTCTGTCTGTCCCTGTCCCATCTGGGAAGACTCCATTCATGCTTGATCAGTCCCAGAAGGCTGCAGCTGTTCCCAAGAAGACCCTTGCTGGCCCTGCCGCCTCCCACAAGGTCATAACTGCACCTACTATTTCTCACAAGTCCACAGCTAAAGCTGCCCACTCCCAGAAGACCCCAGTTGTCCAAGTCCTATCCAAAAAGATCCCATCTGTCACTGCCCCATCCCAGAGGGCCCCAGTTGTTTCTGTCCCATCCAAGAAGGTGCCCCCTGCTCCTGTTTCATCACAGAAAGCCCCCCGTGTTCCTGTCCCATCCAAGAAGATCCCCCCTGTCCCATCCCAGAAGGCTCTTCCTGCCACTGTCCCATCCCAGAAAACTCCAATAGTTTCCGTCCCATCTAAGAAGGTTCCCCCTGCCCCTATTCCATCCCAGAAGGTCCCTCATGCTCCTGTTCCATCTCAGAAGGTCCCATCTGTCACTGCCCCATCCAAGAAGGCCCCAGGTGTTTCTGTCCCATCCAAGAAGGTTCCCCCTGCCTCTGTTCCACCCCAGAAAGCCCCCCATGTACCTGTCCCATCCCAGAAGGTCCCACCTGTTACTATCCCAACCCAGAAGGTTCGCCCTGCCCCCATTCCATCCCAGAAGGTCCCTCATGCTCCTGTCCCATCCCAGAAGGTCCCATCTGTCATTGTCCCAACCCAGAAGTTTCCCCCTGTCCCCATTCCATCCCAGAAGGTCCCTCATGCTCCTGTTCCATCTCAGAAGCTCCCAACTGTCACTGTCCCATCCCAGAAGGCCCCAGGTATTTCTATCCCATCCAAGAGGGTCTCCCATGTCCCACCCCAGAAGACCCTGGCTGATCCTGTCATTGTCCAGAAGGCTACATCTCCCACTGCCCCAAACAGGAAGTCTTTCTTCCTACCTACTCCATCACAGAAAGCTCTGACCTCACCTACCCAATACCAGAGAACATTCAGCCCACCAACCTCATTGGAAAAGACCCTTGCAGACAGCAGGTGGCCAGCTGTAAGTCAGGGAGCAAATATGCTGAAGAGTACCCAGCCAGAAGCGAGACGGGAGCCAGTGGGAATAGTGGGTGCCCAGGAGACGAACGTTGTGGAGCAGAGGACCCAGACTCGGTCCCTGGAGTTGCCTTATGGCACGGCCAAGAAGATGTCTGAGGAGGTCCTGGTGAGCAAAACCAGGGCGATGACTTTAGAGGGCTTGAAGGGCGTGAGGAAATCGGAGGACAAGGTCAGCAAGGAGGAGAAGGAAATCACTGTGGATCTGCCAGGGTTCAGATCCAAGGAGATCCAGCAGCAGAAGAGGCGGGTCAAGACGAAGGAACTGAGCCTGCAGGCACCCACGCTGGAGTCCAACAGGCCCTTCTCCGTGGAGGGCCTTGCCCTAGCTAAGCTGATGATCATGGCCAGCTCCCAGGAGCACCACTCACACACTGCGGTGATGACTCTGCCCTCTTGGCTCTCTCTGAATGCTGAGAAGCCCTCAGTGTCCCCCAATAACAGCCAGTTGTCCTGGCTGCAGAAGTCACCAGTGGTGGTCAGAGAGCAACCAGAGTCTGCCACCTGGGTGAAAGAGAGAACACAGCACTGGATGAAGGTGGAGGAGCCACCCTGGAGCTCAGAGGACCATTCCAAAGTGTCCTTGCGCTCCTTACCCGCATCCAACAGTCCGAGCGTGGAGACTGGTCCCCGGCCTCCCATCCCTCTGCCAGCCACCAGGTGGGAGGACCTGCCACAGTCATCCATCCCACTCCCCTCCTCAAGGATGGAGGCCTCAGCCAGGATGCCTCAACAGACTGTGAAATTATCTCAAGTGCCCATCCGGATGCCCAATCAGCAACCCTTGGCCATGATGGGGTCGTCCTCAGACATCCTTTTGCCCATGGCCTTAGAAATTGAGAATATGAGAGATACGACCACTCAGGTGGAGGTGATAAAAGAGAACTTGGGCAACTTGCCTACTGTGTCCAGGTATTTCCAGGATCCTCACAGGTGACCTCTTTCCTTTGTGAGCCAATTTGTCAACTTTTGCTGCCAGTTCCATTATGTAGAAGGTAGAGAAGATCTTTCCCTCTTCCCACTTTGCTTCGTGCACTCGTATCTAGTGTCAGCTCTGTGCTAGGCATTAGGCACTTAAGGGTATTGTTGAGGCTATGGAGTCAGTTCCAACTCCTGCCAACCCTGTATAGGGTTTCCAAAGAACGGCTGGTGGCTTTGAACCACTGACCTTATGATAAGCAGTCCACTGCTTAACCTATAGCACCACACCAGGATGCCATTAAAGATATGTTGTTGTTGTTAAAGTGCATTCAAGTTGGTTCTGACCCATAGCGACTCTGTATAGGATTCTGGGAAGTCTTCTTGGTGAGCTTGAACTGCCGACCTCATGGTTCAAACCCACTTTGCAGTCCAGGGCAGGCTCTAAGCGAGGCAGAGATCATTGTCTTTCTAATTTTCTTCATGTGCTCAGTACAGAGTGTGTCCACAATGTGCTAGGCATGGAACGGTACGTTTCTAAATAGTTCAAATGTTGAATTTTATGCCGTGTGTATTTTACCATCTTTTTTCCTTTTTTTTTTTTTTTTTAAGGAGAGGGGGACTTGGAGACAAGGAGTAGATCAGCTCTTTTGAAGAATTTTGCTGGAAAGGCAGAAAAGAAATGGGGAGGTAGCTGGTGGAGGAAGTGGGTGAGGAGTATAAGGGGCAAGATATAGTGGGGCATTTGGATTTGGGGTGAATGGTCCAGAGTCAGACCTGATATTAACAAGTCAGGAGGAATAAAACCTACTAAGGAGCTCTGGTAGCGTAGTGGTTACGAATCGGGCTGCGAACCTTAAGGTCAGCGGTTCGAAACTACCAGCCGCTCCGAGGGAGAAAGATGAGGCTTTCTACTCCCGTAAAGATTTACACCCTCGGAAACCCTGTACAGGGTCGCTATGGGTCGGAACCGACTCGACGGCACTTAACAACAACAACAACAACAAGGATCCTAAGATTGGTGCCAAGAAGTGAGGAGGCCACTTGCATAGAGATTTGAAGGAGGGTGGTGAGGACTCAGATTCCAGAGCAGGCTAGCCTGTCTCCAGAGCCATAGTGAGACCGTACCAACTCATAGTGATCCCATGCACAATGGAAGCATATACTGTCTGCTCCAGTACCAATGTTATGATGGATTGCAGACTGGCCCATTATGTTCCGTAAGGGTTTTTGTTGCTGTTGTTGTTAATATCTTATTGTATTTTTGGTGAAGATTTACACACCAGTTTTGGGTTCCATTCAGCCATTTCTACACAAGGGGTTTGGTTACATTCATCACCATGCCTGAACGTTCTCATAGGCTCATTATTTCTACTAACATCCATCTTTGTTTTAAAGTAATTGTTAACCATTTGGTCTCATAGAGGTGGTTTTTAAAACGAGAATGGTCCTCACAGGTGATAGTCTTTATTTTGCGAGCCATTTCGTTATTTTACAAGGTGACCACTGGCTAGTTTCAGTTCAAGGGCTGAAGAGTAAGTATCCCAAGGTAATTGTTTCCGAGAGTCCTCCAGTCTCAACTAGTCCAGCAGATCTTTTTTCTTTCCTTTTTTTTTTTTTAAGATTTTGAGGTTCTGTATCATATTATATTCTTCTTCCATCCTCTCAGGGTCCATCTATTGTAGTCCTCATGAGTTCTCAGTGTAGATGGGCACCATTAGCCTTTCTTGTCTCCATGGTCATACTGTTTTTCCTGGGTGAATTTTCAGACGTAGATCACAAGGCCTTTGTTACTAGTCCTTGGATCGGGAATTTCTGCTGAAACCTGCTGAGCATCACATTATAGCAACGTGTAAGACCCAATGACAGCAAGTGGCCACCTAAGTATTGCCTCCCAAAGCCTTTGCTTTCTTGTGTTCTCTCTCCAGATTGCAGCGCCCCCATTCTTTATAATGGCGGGGTCCAGCGATCAGTATGCAGAGTCTAAAGGAGGCATTGCCAGGTAACCCTGAAACTCTGGAGACCCGACCTAGACCTGCCCCCTCCTGGGGGCTTCTGGAAGTCCAGATTCCGCCTCCCTCTCCTCTCCCCCTGCAGATCCCCCGATGCAGCGCACCCCTACTGTAAGAAGTGGAGTGCTCAAGAACCAGGCAGGGTGACTTTTCCCTCTAAGGTAGAAGTAAAGACCAGAGTTAGCTGTACATTTATTTATATATTGGAGGGCAAGGGAGAGCCTGCAGAATATCCCATCTTCTCAGAGATTAAACGCTTCAGTCTGAGACACGCAATACGACTGTCTCTTGTTCCCTGTACGCGTCCTTAAGAACCCTGACCCTGCTCGGTGGGCTTCTAGCCCCAAGGAGTCGTCGCTGGCTGCAGGCGGAGGCGGGAGAGGGAGGTGGGTGGGGTAACCGGCCCCGCAGGTCTCGGAATCTCATGGCTCCCATTGGCTGGGATCCTGGGGGTTCCAGCCAATTAGGGCTGGGGATGGTGCTTTTCTGTACCCCACCCCTCAAAAGCGAGCGGAACAGTGGAAGTCGGCACAACTCTACCCAGTGGGGACGGTTAACATCAGTCTGGTGAGGCCAAGAAGATGGGGGATGCGAGGGGTGATGTATGGGGGGGTGGGGGGGTCGGGAGCTGGGTGCGGGGCAGGGCTAGTGGCGCCTCCTTCCGACTGATCCCCGTTGGTCCTGCAGGACCCGCCTTCTCCGTGGATGTTGGATATTGATCTCCAGATGCCCCCTAAGGGGAAATGGCACACGCCGCCCTTCGACCCTCGGTTTCCCAATCAGAACCAGACCCGTAACTGCTACCAGAACTTTCTGGGTAAGAGAGAACTTGCTGTACAGGTCTCAACCCGCAGCGGCAGTCCCAAGCTGATGGAGACCGTTGGAGTGCAGGGCGGGTATTAGAGAGCTCTGGAGGGGCGGGGCCAAGAATGGAGTGGGGTGGGGCTAGAAGGACAGGGAGGAGCCTGGAGTAAAGGAGCGTGAGTGGGGGCGGGGCCTGGAGTGAGGGGGCAGGACTGGGTGAAGAGATAAAGGGAGAGGGGCGTGGCAAACCCCAGAGGGGCGGAGCAGGACCTGGAATGGAAGCCTGGAGTCGTGGGCGGGGCCAGATATAGGGTGGTGGTGGTACCGTTGTGTGGAGTGGGTTCTGACTCATAGCGACCGTTTACTGGGTTTCCGAGGCTGTAAATCTTTACGGGAGCAGAAAGCTCCTTCTTTCTCCCGTGGAACAGCTGGTAGTCTCGAACTACTGACCCTGAGGTTAGCAGCTCGATTTGTAACCGCTACACTACCAGATATAGGGAAGAGAGGAATTGGGGACTGAAATAGGTGGCCGGGACTAGTCTAGAAGAAAGTGAGGGGCATAGTGAGGCTAGGAGGGTGGGGCCTAGAGTAGGGGGCGGGGTCAAGTCTAGTAGCACGTGAGAGGCAGGGGGCGTGGCAAAGCCAGGAGAGACATTGGTGTGGAGGGGTGGAGCCTGGGGTGTGGAGTCCTGGTTGGGCCTGGATGAAGGGAATGGGGGTGTGGCGAGATCCGGAGGGGCCAGGCCCAAGTAGTGAGGAGACGTTAGGGGCGAGGCCGGTGGCGTGACTCCTCCCTGCCCTGTCCCGCAGACTTCCACCGCTGCCTGAAGATGATGAACCGGCGTGGGCGGAGCACGCAGCCCTGCGAGTACTATTTCCGCGTGTACCACTCTCTGTGCCCCATCAGCTGGGTGAGGGGGGCGAGGAATCGAAGGGGCCAGGCGGAGGGCTCCCCCTGCCAGACTGAGCCGGCTCTCTGTCCTCCCTTCTCCTTCCTCAGGTACAGCGCTGGAATGAGCAGATTCGGGAGGGCACCTTCGCGGGCAAAATCTGACTGTCGCTGCGTGGCTTTTGAGGGATCGGGCCCGGCGACCCCAGTCCGCGAGTTGCCCATCTCTAAATCACATACAAAGTCAGGATATGCTGATGTTTCTCTTTAATGTCTGCTCGGGATGGGTGTGTGTGTGTGTTCGTCTCTCTAGGCGGTCTCAGGGCACCCAGGAGCCAGCTGGTGTGTACTGGTAATGGGGGTAGACAGAGGTGTGCCTGTCTCTATGGTAGGCCCTCGCTCCCAGCTGATAGGGGGCGTCTTTTCCGGGCTCCAGGGTGTCCACACCTTTACCTGTCTCCTCAGTTCTCACCATGCCCATGGCTCAGCCACTTTCCTGAGTCAGCCTGGACCACTTCCCTAGCCACCTGGGCCCTCAGTCCACCCCCATCTCAGCCTGAAGGAACTTTGTCCCAGGACTGTGTGTTGGTTGGGTCCCACCCAGGAGAGGCGAGGGTTGGGTTGGACACTGGTAGGGCCTGTTTCCTGGTGGCTGCCAAACCAAAAGGCGGGTAGTCTGAACCCACCAGTTGTTTCACAGGAGAAAGATGTGGCAGACTGCTTCCGCCAATGGAGGGAGCAGATCCATTCTGTCCAAGAGTCCTTGTGAGTCAGAATGGACTCCACAGCAACAGGTCTGGTACCTTGTTCAGATATAGGTAAGGTCTTTGAAGGTGTCAGCCAGCATGAGGCCATACTGAAGGAGTAAGGTGGGCACTAACCCTCTGAGAGGCGTCCTTGCAAGAGAAGAGACGGGAAAAACACCATGTGAAGATGTGTGTAGAAGGTAAGGAACACCTGGAACTACCAGGAAAACTATTTGTAGGTTGAGAAGTGCTCCTCTGAGGGAGAGACTTGCAGATCGGGTGAGGGTGGAGACAAGATGGAGGGGAGCCAGGGGAGGGGACAGAGGAGGCTGGAGAGGCAGGGGTTGGAGGTTGAGGGACTGTTCTCTAAAGAAACTGAGAATGCATGCCATTGGAGGTATTGGTGCTGGCACCCAGAGATGCGGGGCTTGGGGCCAGGAGCTCATAGAAGGCACTGGTCCATCAGGCTGGGGGTGAGGAGAACTCAGATCCTCAGAGCCATGGTTGGGAGGTCAGTAGTGACTGAAGCAGAAACCAGGTGTTTTAAGAATGTTCCAGAAGTAGTCACTTGATGATGGGGAGGCAGGAAAGGTTAGCTGACAGGTGACCAGGACTTGATGAGAGCCAGTGGCAGGTCAGTGTCCCCTTGTGCTCAGCTATCTTTGTATGTTGTCAGTCCCAATGTCTTACATGGCCTTGTGCAGGTGGAGGCTGGCTGCTAAGGTCCCTTGTGGCAGAGCCCACACTCTCCCTCCATTCCTAGAAGAATCCTGCTTGTCATTGTGGTTAGATTGGATGCGGAAGGGCAAGGTCCCAAGGTGATGTTGCAGGGAGATAAGACATCTGGGGTGTGACTCTGGATTGGGTGGAGAGGGCAGGGGATCATCTCTAGGTGGGAAAGGGACTGAATCCTAATCACAGGAGAGGAAACTGAGGCCCACAAAGGTCAAAAGTCTCATTCAGGATTGCCAAGCAAGGAGTCCTGCTGTGGCGCTGTGGGTTAATGCTCCAGACTGCAAAGCTGTTTGAACTGCAAGGTCAGTGGTTCAAGTTCAGCAGCTGCTCCTCAGAAACTCTATACGGGGGTCATTATGGGTCGGAACTGATTCGACAGCACTTACCTACAACCAGCAAGGTTACACGATTAGTAGCATCCTTTGGACTCAGAGGAGCCCTGGTGATACAGACGAACCGGTTTGAGCCCACCTGGGAATCTGGCTCCCATAGATTTCAAATGAAATGATCCTGACTCATGGCAAGCTTGCTGGGTGGGTGGGGAGTGCTGGCAGACTGCCCGTCCCATCCCGTTCTGTTCCCCCCCCCCCATCTCTCGAAGTGTGCATTTTGTCTGATTTGAGACAGGAGACGCAGGCCTCGTGGGACACAGCCAGCCACCTGCAGAGTAATGGGGAGACTCACCTCCCGCTGAGCTGGCCAGTTTGGGCACTGATGCAACTCCTCAGCTTCTTGAAGCCCTCCTCACCCTCCCTGTCTTGTTATCTGGTCCCACAGCGGCTGCTGTCACTGCCTCCAGCTCCCCTAAGACTCCTCCCTCCCAACTGATAGCTTGAAACAGTGCACTTCTGAGGAAGCTGCTTATAACAAGATTTTAATAAAATAAAAAGTTCAGGTGCTTCCAATCCCCTCCCTGGGCACAGGCAGTGCTGGCGTGGGTGGGAAGAGGAAGGGCGCCCCGACTCCCCAGTAGCACCAGGGGTAGCACCATGAGAAAGATGAGGTCGTGCCCCACACCTTCCCCACCTCAGACAGCTGCAGGGCTGAGGGCAGACCCACTTTCCCCTGCTAGGGAGCACCACCTCCAAAAGGACTCAGCCTCCACCAGAGGCTTGGTTCTGGGCTGCCCCCTATGGCTTTGCTCCCTGGGAGGGACGGCTGAGGCAGGAGGGGGAGTGTGTGTGTGGGGGGTTACCCCTCTGTCCTGAGGTGGGGGTGGGGTGGGGGCAGCAATGGCCAGGGCTCCCTGCCGGGCTGGGTGGCTCAGGGATCAGCAGTCACAGGAGATCAGGGGATCAAATCCCTGGGGTTGCCCAAACCAGCCCCCTCTAGGGATCAGTGCTGTGCTGGGGTCAAGGGTCAGCACCCTCCTAGAGGCCTCAGGGCTGCTTTTTGAAGTGTTAGGGTCCACTAAGACTTGCGAGCCTGGGCCAGAGAAAGACGGGGCAAAAAGCGCCTCTTCCCTTCCCCCACCCAGGCTTCACTGGCCGCCTGTCAGGGCTCGCCACCGTTGACGTCCAGGTCAATGGAGCCGTGGCTGACCACCAGCCGCAGGCGCTTGGGTGGGGCAAAGGGAGTGAAGGCGAGGGCCTGTTTGGGGACAGGAATGGAGCCTGGGGTCTTGGAGGGAGCAACTGGAGGGTCAGGGGCCAGGCGGCTGAGGTCCACGCGCACCACGTGAGGCAGTCCGTAGCGCCTGGCCCAGTGCCAGTCCTGCTGTGGAGCCCAGCGGGCACGGGGAAGGCGGCCCAGAGTGACCTGTGCCTCACCCCGCAGGCGACAGGCAGGGCCGCAGCCTCCCCAGGGGTGCAGGGAGATGCGGACAGACGACGGCAGGGTGGGAGGCGCAGGAGCCCGTCGGGGCCGAGGACGGCGGCGTCTCCGTGGACGCGCCTGGGACAGGGGCTGTAGTAGCCACTGGAGCCATATGGGCGCGACAGCATCAGGGTGGCCTAGAAGAGGCTGGCAGGCGGCTGTTGCAGAGAAGGTGCAAGGGGAAGCAGGTCAGCTCCGGGCCAGGGCCCTCAGGTCCCGCTTATCTTCCCTCCACCCTCCATGGGTGCCACTGTGCTCTTGGGGTCGACTGCCAGCCGAAATAGAGGCGGGATGACCAGATCACCGGGGTGGGGGTGGGGGTGGGGTGTCAGAGAGGAGCACGTGAGCTGGAGGCGGGGCGGCCAAGCTCACCACAGAAGAGGTCCTGGCGCAGAGGGGATGGGTGGGCACAGCGCAGGCCTCGCCAGCCGCCGTCCTGGCCTTGCTGAAGCCTTCGCTTGGTCTCACGGAGCTCATACTTGTCAGGAGCCCGCGGTGGGGTCGATCCTGGCTCCTTGGGCCGAAGCCGGAAGGCTCCCTCACCTTTCCTAGGGGAACACAGGAGATGGACCGGGCTGGCGGCTGGGCCTCCTCCCCCTCAGGCCCCCGCCAGGTGCACCCCCGCCCACCTCTCGCAGGTGTAACACTCGCAGTGCTCATTTTTCTCCCCAAAGAAGCCGTCGCCGTAGAAGCACGTCACTTCATCACCGGGCTCGATATCCCGCAGCACTTTCACGCAGGCCGCATTCCCATCTGCAGGCACAAACTGGGGGGCCTTCTTCCTGCCATATGTGTCTGCGTTCCCACTCCCCCTGACCCTTTGGTGGGCACAATGGGCACTGTCGCCTCCCTCCAGGTTCCCCAGGTCCCACCGTCCCTCTGAACTCTTGCTTTCCCGGCCACCACGGGTCCATTCTGGCCCGGCTACACCCTTGCCTGCCCTGTCTTGGGGCCACTTTCTTGCCTATGTCCCTGCCCCTCATGCCTGCTACTACATCTGTCCACACTCCCAATCTGGGATGCTACTTATCTGTCCACTCAGGCCCACACCACTTGCCTGAGGGCCACCTCCTGTTAACCCTATGTCCTGTCTCCTTCTCTCTGTCCCTGGCCATCCTCAAGCCCCTGATTCTCAGATGGCTCAAATGGCAAATGCCCACTCCACCCCTTCCAGCAGGTTCGGGTAAAGGGCGATCAGGAGGGAATGACAGGGCTCTGTAGAGTGGGGAGCCTCACAGGCATATGACCCTTACAAGCTCTTTGGGAGCAGCTGGTGGGGTCCACCTGCTGACCTTCTAGGTAACAGTCTAGAGGGTTAACCCTGTGCCGTCAGGGTTTCTGTGGCTCAAGCTCACAGCCTAGAATACCCTGTGGTACACTTCGACTCTGTTCTCTAGGGTCACTGAGTCTACCCTGGCAGCAGGGGGCCCAGCTCTTACCTTACAGTTGGGTCTGCAGTCTGGAGCCAGCAGGGGGTGGTGTTGGGGGAAAGAAGAGAGACGGGGAGGCTCATGAGCGAACATGCGCTACTTAGCCCTCCAGGGGCTCCGCGCCCACGAGGGCTCACCGTGGTTGATGAAGGCTGCCGGGCCGAGCCACAGCTGAGCGCTGCGCTTGCGGGTGGAATACATGATGCTGAAGTCATTCTCGCCAGCCCTCAGCAGCCCCTCGTCTGCCTCACGCAGCTCAGCGATGCAGCCCACCAGCAGTTCCAACTTCTCGTTTTTTTTCCTGAGAAGGCAGCAGCTGTTGAGCCACGCCTCTCCAGGGCTTGCTCGGGGGCAGGAACAGGGGCATGATGGGATCTTCTTCAGAACCAGAGCCCAGGGCCATCCACCAGTACACCGCCGTCCAAACCTAAAACCTGTCCCTGTCCCCCAGTCCCTCTCCTATGCCTAGAGGACCCCCCCTACGCCCAGCCTGAGGTGGACTGAGAAGCCTTCTTGCTAGAGCTGCAGAATTCTCTGGTTACCCTCTGCTTTTCCCAACAGCCAAGGTGAGCCGTTCTACTGTTGCCTGTTCTGTGCTCAGCCGGGCTCAGGTGGGGAAGTGACAGCCCCAGGCAGTTCTTTCTTGGCAGCCCTGGGACCCCAGGGTCTCTGAGGTCACCTCCCCCAACAGGGTCTTGACTAGGTTCTTCCTCCTCCCACAGTACCTGGGGGACCACAAGTAGCCTTTCTCTGAGCAAGAAGCACTGGGGTCTGCTTGGCTTCCCCAACACTTCAGCGGCCATGAAGACCGAGACCCTCTTACCAAGCGCGGGTGGACACGATCTTGGCCCCGTTGGTCTCCATGGAGTAGCGGGTGCAGGGCAGGATGGCGAAGCCACTTTCAGGCAGAAACGCGCGGAGGTAGCGATAGATCTGGGGGAGTGAGGGGGTGGGCGGGGTGAGGCGGCGGGGAGGGGGTGTCCGTGGCGTGGCCCTCTCTCCGGGGTGCTAGTTCTGCTCTGTGTCCTACGCTCGCTGTGTGGTCTCACTTCCCCTCTCGGGCCTCAGTTTTCCTCATCTGTCAAACCAAGAGGGTGGACTCCAGCTCAGCGGCCCCCCACCTCTCTTCTTCTAGGGTTCTCAAGGCCGGGAAGTCAGGGTGCAATGGGCAGGAAAGGGGCTGGGGCCGAGGTGGGGGGCTAGGGAACGGGTGGGCGCCCTCACGTGGGTCTTGAGGGCAGCCTCCTGCCGCGGGCCCCGGCTCTGGAAGTAGTGGGCCATCCAGCCTCCCAGCGTCAGGGCCCGGTACGCAGCCTCCAGGTCCCGCTGCTTCAGGAAAGCCTCCAGCGCTGAGCGCAGGTGGTGCCGTCGCCGCAGGGGGGGCACGGGGCTGGGGGAGAGGGCACGCCTGGGTCCCAGGGCCTCGGCCTACGTCCCTCCTGGCCTTCCCGGCCCTGCCCCCACCCCCCAGGGGGTACTGAGAGGGGCAGCGGGTGGCAGGGCCCTGTGGCCTGCCTCACCTGACGTTCATCTTGTGGGTGCGGAAGCCGAGGTAGGGGTCCAGAATGAGGCTGGTGGCCAGGTCGTCGTTCTCACAGAGCTCGCGGGCGGTCACTCTGTCCGGCCCCATAGTGCTTCTCCAACCATGCTGCTTCCTGTGACGGCAGGGCAGGGCACACTGTGGGGGGGAGCTGTCTCCCCATGCACACACCAGACCCCGTAGCTCACACACTGAGGACAGGAGCCTGGAAGCAGGTGACCCAGTCTCTGACACCCGCTCTCCTCTAGTTAGGGACACAGGACAGAGGCCCACGCATGCACCCCAGCAAGTGCACAAACCCTGACGTACAGCCACGCATATATGCCCCAGGAAGGCCGACAAGTACACACACAGCCCCCAGCCCTCTCCTGCCCTCCTCAGTGCGCATGTGCACCCAGATCCACCAGCAGGACACGACCCGAGTGCACACACGCGCAGGAAAATGGGAATCCCACACAATCCCACGTGCACACTCCCACAGCCCCCTCCCCCAGTGCACGTGCACACACTGACAAGTCCTCTGGGCCGTCAGTGGCTGGGAGGTGCACCCTAGGGCTCTGCGAGGGGGGAGGTGTCGTGGGGGAGGGGAGCAGCCAGAGGGGAGGGGGAGCCCAGCACCTGCTCCCTGGGGGGGGGGGTCGGAGGACAAAGGGGTGCAGAGAAAGAGGCAGCGTGCGGACAAGGGAACTCAGGTCAGAAAGGAGGAAGGAGGAGGGCGCAAGGGACCAGAGCCAGAAAAGCCGCGGGCTGGTGATGGACAGGCGGGCACCCACGGGGTGCGGGGTGTCCAGGAGATGGCCCGGGGCTGGGAGCTAGGGACAGAGGGGCCACACAAGGTGCCTGGGGAGTGCCAGGGGGTCCAGGACGAAGCAAAGGGAGGCAGGGGGCGCCCAAGAACCTGGGTCAGTGGCTGCCAGAAAGGGGGCTGGGGAAGGTTTGGGGGTCCAGGGAGGGGCCTGGGCTGGCAGGGAAGGTTCCCAAAGGGCCTGAGGGTCCAGGATAGGGCCGGTGGAGTATGAGGGAGGGCAGAGGAAGACCCTAGGGGTTCCAGAGAGTTCTGGGAGAGACCCAACCCAGAGAAGGACCCAGGGGCCAATATATGAAGGGGCTTCAAAAAGTTGATAGAAAAAAGGAATTGAAAGACACTGCAATTTCCCCACCAACTTTCGGACGCTCCCTAGTATAAAGGAGCTGAAGGCTAAAGGGGGGGAGGTCCAAGAAAGGATCTGGAAAGTGAGGAAAAGGCCAGGGGAAGGGCCTGGGGTGCAAAAAGGGGGACAGGGGCCCAAGGAAGGGACTAATGAGCAAAAAGGGGGATCCGAGGGCCCCAAGGAAGCACTAAAGAATGCAGGGAGGGGCCTGGTCAGGAGCCACGGGGAAGGGGACACCAAGAGAAACCTGGGCCCCGAGAGGTGAGGCGCCTGCACGCCACGAGGGCCAGGCGGGGTGGGGGACAGTCGGGACTGGGGGCGACTGGGAGCCAAGGCAGCGCGGGGCGGGGGCCATGAGGGGGCTCAGAGGTCGGGCCCCGCGCCGCCCCTCACCCGCTTCTCCTCCTCCTCAGGCGCCCGCGCCGCCGCCGCCACCACCTCCCACTGCCGCCTCCAGCTCTCGTCAGACACAGTCGCCGCACCTCCTGTCTGCCCCATCGGGGCCACCCTGCTACGGCCTCTTCGGGTTCTTATTGGTCAAGGATGCCGCCAGTCATCGGTTGCTATAGCGCTCGCCCCGCTCCCACTGGTCGAGGTGCGTTCGGGTCCTCCCCTCCAGTGTTCTACAAAACCCCACCACACCCGCGCTGCCGTCAAACGCCGCCAACTACTGCTATTGGCTCAAGTAACTGTCCTTCCACGGCTGCCATGGAGATACATCCCCGCCTCATCATCCGCCAGCCCTAACTCGGCGCTCTTATTGGCTGAAAGCGCCGTCGCTCCGGGCTAAACTAGGGGTGGGTCAGGTTAGTCAGGTCCCAGAGGAAAGAGGGTGGGCTCTGTCCACTCTACGCTCGTATATGATTGCCTACTCTTGGAGTGACTCATCTTCCCATTGGCTAAACCTTCCGCCCGTCACCACAGAGTAGCGACCTCCTGCTTCTCTTTCTTTGGTGAAACCTGCAGCCACAGGAGAGAGAGAGAGAGAGAGAGAGAGAGAGGGGTAGAGGAGTTGCGGGGGATGGGGGGGAGGGAGGAGGGGGGAGGTGTCGAGAAAGTGTATGCGCGCGCAATGCTATCGCCCCGCCCAGCGAGACCTAGGGTTGCCAAGGCGACAAAACTTTATTGACAATCCCGCCTGTGCACAAAGGATACCTCGCTCCCTGTCTCTCTCAACCTACTCTGCTTTCCCCAAACATCCTATTTAAATTTTGAAGTATCTACACTAACTCTGGCGGCCCTCTCGCTGTTGGAACGGGTCGGGAAGAGGGAAATTGAAAAGTAGGGACTTTGGAGACAGCTCTGTTTCACGGGGCGCGCCCGTGGGGGCATCTCCCTCCCCTTTGGGATCACCCCTCTGTTTCAATCCTAGAAGCAAACCTAATTAGCAATTCAGGATAATTCCGCCTAGAATTGTAAGCTTCACTCGAAAGCTGGAGGCTTTGTTTTGTTCACTGCTGCTTAGAACAATGCGTGCCACATAGTAGGGACTTCATCAATATTTATGGGATGAATAAATGAATGTGTGAATAGGGACCAATAATAAACCGATGCTGTTGCTCTGTGATACAGCAGAACGAAGGGGCTTGCCAGACCTCTGTTAACAAGGAACCCTAACACCTTCCCCTGTGCTGCTGGCTCCGTGTTTCCAGCCCGTAGGATAAGAGTTGAACTGCTAACCACGAAGTTGGCGGCTCAAACGCACCAGCTGCTCCTAGGAAACTCTATATAGGGTCGGCAAGAGTCGGAACCGACTTGCACTTAACAACGACATAATTTTAGCCTTTGTTCAGGAGCTCTGGTAGCACAGTGGTTACGCACTTGCTTGCTGGCAAACGGGGAGGTGGGTTGTTGGAACCCACCAATCTGTTTCCATAAAGATTTACAACCTTAAATGCAGTTTTTACTCTGTGGCCCTGTGGGTTGATGCACTGGACTGCAAGATCAGCTTGAACTTCAAGGTCGGCGGTTCAAGCTCACCAGCCACTCCTGAGAAACCCTGTACAGAGTAACTATGAGTCGGAATCGACTCCAGGGCACTTAACAATAACAATACCGGGTCGCTGGAGTCCTGGTGTGGCGCTGTGGGGTAATGCACTGGACTGCAAAGTCGGTTTGAACCGCAAGGTCTGAGGTTCAAACTCACCAGCCATTCCTCGGAAACCCCATACAGGGTCGCTATCAGTCAGAACCTACTCAACTCCATAGCACTTAACAGCAAGTGGAGTCCTGGTGCAGCGCTGGAGAATAATTCTCTGGACCGCCAAGGTCAGTTTCAACTGCAGATCAGTAATTCAAACTCACCAGCCGCTCCAAGGAAACCCTATACATGGTCTCTATGAATCAGAACCCATTCGACGGAACTTAACAACAACAACATAGGATAATTAATACAACAACAACATAGGGATAAGTAGGATAAGCACTTGATCTTAAGGTCAGTTTGAACCACTGCAAGGTTAGTGGTTCAAATTCACCTGTCACTCCTCAGAAACCCTATACAGGGTCGTTATGATTTGTAACTGACTCCACTGCACTTAACAACAAGAGTCCTGGTGTGGCACTGTAGGATAAGTATTAGGCTGCTAAACCAGCAGGTCAGCAGTTCAAACCTATACAAGGTCACTATGAGTCACAACTGACTCGATGGCGCTTAATAACAACATCACAGTGTTGTTCTGAGTCAGCGACTGGCTACCACTACCAACTCCTCTGAAAGGGATCACATTAGAAGGTCCTGGATAGAATGGTAGAAAATATGGACTAAAACTTAAAACCATGGAAAAAAAGTCAGATAAAGCCTGATGGAACCCCAAGAGACTACGACCCTTGGTCACCCTTCAGGTCTTGAACTAAGCTCACCTTCTGGCTTAATTTTCAGCCAAGGAATAGATTTCTAGGGGGACAGCATATAAATAAGTAGACAGGGGATCAAAAGGGCAGCATTTACTTAAGGACAAAATTCAGAAGGGTGGGGAAGAAGGCGGAACAGGAAATAAAAACCACAGGGAGGAAGTGGGATAAGTGATGTACCATAGAGGGGATTTCAATCGAGATGAAATGAAGTGTTTGATTTGTTGAATATAAAACTGATTACCTGCTTTGTAAATTCAATTCATAAAAAAAAAAAAAAAAAAAAGCTTATGGAATGAGCCACCCAGAGCGAAAGTGGGAAGAGAGTTGTCACATGGTTGTTACTGCCCAGCTTTTGAATGTATGTGGGGGATTAAATCAGGTGCAATTTAGTCCTCAAAGTGAAATCTTTTCTCTTTGACATTTTAAAGTGGTCTTTTGCAGCAGATATGCCTAATGCAAGTTATTTCCTTTCTTGACTGCTGCTCTTGTGGGTGTTGATTGTGGATCCAAGTAAAATAAAATCCTTGACAACTTTAATCACAAAAAGCTTAGCTCTCTGGAAAAGTCATACAGGATTGTATGAATTTTTAAAGTACAGTTCTTCTACTTGGGTGTGCACAAAGGGATAAGTACATGAATGTTCATTACAGTAGTGTTTAATACAGGTGAAAAACTGGGAACAGCTTAAATGTCCATCACATGAAGAATGGATAAAGGGATCGTGGTATAGTCCTACAAGGAAACACCACTCTTCTGTGAAGGAACTGTACCAACAATCCTATATGAGTATGAATCAGACCAACCCCAAAGTGTAATATTACTACTCTCAGAAGTCTATGTATTCTAATGCCATCTACACATTTCACCTCAGTTTTTTAAAATTGTGGTGAAAATGTATACTAACCCCAAAATTTCCACTTGTGTGATTCAGTGACGTTGGTTGCATTCTTCAAGTTCTGCAACCATTCTTACTATCTTTCTTACTTAGGCTGGTCTTCTAGAGAAACAAAACCAGTGAAAATTATATATGTGTATATATACCAATAGAATTTTATACCAAAGAAATGACTCACAATTGTAGAG